TATTAATGTTTTACTTTATCGACACTTAGGGTAGGCTCTGAGCCCCTTAGTGGGGACATTTAGTGAGCTGATGATGATGTTGATCACACAACAGAAGTATATACGCCTCTCAGTTCAGTAGTAAACATTTATCATCTCTGATATATTATTTACTATTTAATTTAAGAAAACATACCTTATTTCCGTATCTTGATATTAATCCGGCTCGAAGGACCTTTCCAATACCTTTTGGTTTACGATAAGGACGTAATATTAAGGCAACAATATAGCCTCGACCTGATGTCGGATTATGAAAGCTTACGTAATATTGACGAATAACAAATAGGAAGCTATTAAATATTTACTCTTGTTGAGTTACGAGATATTGTTTATCTCTCATAGAAAGTTTATGTATTTAGTTATTAATGTAACCTTATTCAAGGCACGAGGACGTTAATTACGTTAATAATTGCTTATGCGCCAATAGCCTAATGGTTTGGGGTACGGACTACCGATCTTGAGGTCGAGGGTTCGAGCCCCGCCGTTCGACTATTGTCATGAACCATATCCTAGCACAAGCCTATAGCTTAGTTGGAATGGTTAAAGGAAATCTTGGTAAATTAACAAAAATCTATTAATATTTTTTAAACCCTCAAATATATACCCATCTGAATTTTCGCATTTATAATACTAATAAGTAAGTTGTTTATATTGAAGTACGAGAGAGGTTCATATATTATTACACGAAGAATGCAATCATTAATATTTAGCTTACGTATGCACTCATGTGCAATTTCGTCTCCGCTTTGCTGTTAGCAAAGTGACATCAGAATAAGCGACGTAAGTTATGCTTATTTGTATAAATGTCTCGTGACTCTGCAGTCAAAATGAATAGAGAATTAATTTTATGGCTTTAGGAGAACATCTTAAAATACGTAATATTCTCTAAAAGGCATAAAATCATGTAACTAAACATAATATTAATTAAGGTCAACTAAAGGTTAAAATCTCTTTATAAGAATAATGAAAGCAATCAGGTTTTCTTTACTACAACGTTTATTTTTAACTTTTAGTTGTTACGAGTTGTCGCCCGCAAACTTCGTAAGCGCACATTTGGACTACCTGTTACGTAATTTTGACAGCGCGGAATAAAAAAAAAAGTAGCCTATAATATGCCTATCCATGTCAGCTGGAGAGTCAATGGAGGGTCATTGAAAGTCCCGTCGAAATTGCCCCAGCCATTATCCAGAAAACGCGGCTTGCGGACAGGCAGACAAAAATGTTTTAAATGCGATTTTCTTTATCAGCAACGTAAATACATCATCTTCCCGAAATCTGGATTTTTTTTTTTGATATCACAAACGGACACTCCAATTTTATTATGTGCATCGAGAGATTAAAACTTGAAGACAAAAATATTATTCCTAAATTATGATCTTAATCATAGTATATAGCATTGGATTGTTTAATTCTAAGATTTATTATATTCATTATTTATAAGTGATTTTTATAGTATTCAGCAGTTATTTATATGAAAACTTCAAAAGCCTTTATAACACGAAGTGACATTCGATTCAATTTCCAGTTGGACCCTTTTATCAATTTACATTTTGAACGGAATACAGAGAATATGCGGGAGTCAGTTGACGCGGCGCGCTGGGACTCTATTCATGATATTGACACCTCTAGCTCTCCTTTGAAAGTGTTAAGCTCAAAGCTTACCGTGAAATTACACTCACGTTACACTTGTATCGAAACATCTATGTTTTTTTAAAGAAAATGTAAACTATTTGAATGCTGACTCCAAACAGAACACGTCAAAGAAGTTCTCTTCCCCTATCTACTGTTTTCTAATAAGGAAACTAGCTCATGCTGGCAACTTTGCCCGCGTGAATTTATAAAATAATTAAGAATGTAGCTCATGTTATTCACGTAGCTTTTTGATGTTAAAGAATTTCTGAAATCGGCCCAGTAGTATTTGAGTTATCAATACATACAAAAATCTAAATTATAAAGATATAATATTAGTAATTAACGTCACATATTAAAAAGGAATTTGCCGCAATAAACAGATGAATAGCAAGTTGAATTCTGTATGTATTATAATCTAGCTATATTAAATGATAGTGGTCAATTCAAACGACAATATGGCACCATATATGAACAACAATTTGTTGGTAAATAAAAGGATATGAAGGTAATAAATTACGTAAGAAGCTGAGGCGTCATTGTATGATTCATGGGGTCGTAATATTACAAGTCACGTGCCGACCTCGCGGCGAAAACGAATCCGCATGCCCACGCGACAAGCTCGTCTCGATGTACTGCCAAAGGATTTATGCAAATTCTGTATATGCCAGAAGAATTTTAAATATTTCACTTTTGTCTACTGCTTAATTACGGCTCCAATGATCTTAATACATTTGTGGGCGATGTAATTGCACTTCTTTCTGATATGCTTTTTTATAGACTTTTGTAATGAGCATAGAAGGTCACATTTCATTTTTTATTTTGTAAAATATTTCATCTTTTGGTTAAATCTTTTAGACGTTGCTAGGGTGTACATTATTTATTTTACCATTTTTACGTTAATTTTCTTTAAAAGTTGAGGTATATTGAATCACATTCACGGTCGCGCACGGTCCTTTTCGTTTTGCATTATTTTTAACATCTTTGTTAGTATCAGCTAATTCTGTTCTACTATTCAAGGCATCTATTAAAGTTTTTCCTAACCTATCTTACCGAAGAGTTTTCCAACAATGTTAAAAATCTCATTTTATAATCTATACTTTACATACCAATTAGTTGGTCGCGTATGAATTTCGTACAGTAACATTCCATACCCTTAGGAAATAAGCTGTTGAAGCAATTTGTTATAAATCAAATTTTAAGATCCTTTTCCGGAGTATTTAATGCGAATACAAAGCATAAGAAGATAATTTACATCTACTCATTCCAGTTCCAGTTTACATAAATTATTCAATGGACTTTTAGAAAGAAAAAATTTGATCTCTATGATAGATTCAGAGACAAACTTATCTTTATTTGCCTCTCCTGCGTTTTAATGTCCTGGCATAATGAAAGGAAAACCTTGCGACTAACAAATTAAAGAAATAAACCACAATAAGAGGTAAAGATGCATTTTGCGTTTGCTAATAATTAAATAACATACAGTATTAAAAGTGGAAGATATTATAAACGAACGGTGACACAAAGGAGTATAAAATACGAGTAGTAGTAATCTTCAACAAATTTCCCTTGACCCATAAATCAGCTGTTGTCTGCGCTAGGGGAAGGTTACTTGATTATTCCCCGCGGCCTACTATTGATCTTAATTAAACCGCTCATAATCTTCTAATACTAAAGGTAACTATAGAGTTTTAACCATATACTAAATTGTAAGGCGAATGTCCACCACTTAATCCTGAACCTTATAATAAATCTTTTATTATTCTATTGTTTTAGTCCTTATGTTTTAAAATAATGCGGATTAAATATTGCAATTTCAAGAAAAAACCTGATCTATCGTTTTGTATCGTTGTATCGATCTCAAATATCGATTATTGCTTTCAGAATTAGAGTATCTGTTCACGCAAAATACGCGCTAGTCGTGGAGTTGCGGAATCCGTCGCCCCTACTACTAGAGTATATGTTTAAGAGATATCTGATCTTTAATTAACCTGAAAATAGCTTCTCTCTGTAAGATATTAACTATTAAAAATACCAACAAAACTTCACAATACTATGTTATTTCACACATTCAATAAAACTGCATCTCGCTGATGATAAGCTGAAATAGTTTGTTGTTTTAAAATGATACATCGGAATGTTTAATGAAAAACGATACGTCGATATTTGGCTTCACTGCATTCTAAATATATGCGGTCATTTCATTTAATCTGTGCGGTAAAATGTTTAGACCTATGTCAATAATGCATCTATGATCCACAAGTAAAGCGGCGAATTATAGCTTGTATTCAAAAGTACACGCGGACAATAGCTATACACGTGTTTCCATTATTTACCTTTTCTACCGTAACAAATTTAATCAAGAAAGGTGGAAGTTAGGAGAGGAAATGAGTTATAGCGCCCTCTGTTTATGGAGCAGGAAATATTTTATGAATTAAAACTCCAGATTACAGCCGAAACGTTGAAATTAATTAATATTTAATATTCTTCTATTTAATAATAAATTGAAGAAGCGGAGATTTTTATTGTTCATTGTTAACGCTTAAATGTGCACTGTTATATACAAACAATATTTAACAAAAGTATGCTAGATTTTTTGTTATTAATTTTCCTCTATTACAATTGTTAGGAAAAATCACGCATTTAAATGTCAATATTCACTACCTGTTTAAACAAATACGTTTTAAGAACGATTAATTTTAAGCAGTTTTCATGAAAAGAAACCCAGAAGAGTTAAAGATATAGCTTTTCAGTGTACGCTTCCATTATATATAAAATAAATACAAATGCTTATGTTTACGTCTGTTTCTATTTCCAACGGACAAACAACGTTATCGATATATTTCCGGCTGTGGACCGTTACTTTTATTCTTCTTGACGTGCTGTGAAAAATGATCACTAAAAGCTGTAAAACTTTGTACCTTATTGAAGAATATAATAGAGTTGAAATTGCTATGATCGATGTAAGTTTACCATAGTCCCAGGTGGTAGTACCAAGCAAAAATTGTTGTGTAATGTTCTGAATACGAAATCCGTTTTGGAAATACATTTTATTTTGGTATTTAAAATGTCCCGTTTGTGTGAATTGAATCAAACATATTTATTGGACACTATAACGAAGGAACTATCATATAAATATTGTAAATGCGAAAGTTTAGATGGATGGATGTTGTTGTTAGAGTTAGTAGCCTAAACTGCTGAACGGATTTGGATGAAATTTGGTTTAAATGTAGGGGGTAGTCTGGAAGAACACATAGGCTACTGACTTTTGCTTTTTTTTAACACCACGCAGACGAGTCTCGGTCTAAAGCTAGTAAATAATAAATCCATCATCAATAATAAGACTATATTCATAACATATAACATTTTGCATTATCAAACATTTTAAACCGTGATATAATTGTAATAATCAAAATAACTTTCAAAATAGATAGAAAAATCAGATTGCAGATTGTTCAATTTTATATGTATACTTTTTACTTTTATAAATCGTCACAAGTGCTAAAATTTATTTTTTATATATTTAGTACATCTCAACTTACAAACGCGTCGAGGACAATTTAAAACATCACACAAATTAACAATAACAGACTAACATTTTTCGCATTTTTATATATTTTATAACCTCACTTAGGGAGTTCCCAATCAACTGCGTCGTTATATTTTTCCGGTTCCTTCAATGGAACAAATATTGCTATTTTAGACAATGCACCTGAAACAAAACGAACAATGCACTTTTAGATAGAATCATTCTTTGAATATTGAGGGGTTAAAGTATGAAATTGCAGTAAAAATGTACTGATTAGTTTTTAAAGAAGAACCTCAAATATATCTTGTGAAAAACTGAATTTGTCTAATAAATATCACCCATCCACTTGCCCTTATCCCTTATGGAGGGTCGGCACAGTATGTGCTGCTCTTCCATACATCTCTATCAGCCGTTATATCTGAATCCACTCCTTTCTTAAGCATATCTTCCTTCACACAATCCATCCATACTTTCTTCGGTCTTCCTCTTCCTTTGTAGCCATCCACATTCAATCTCAACACTTATATTATTATATACCTTATATACCACGCTAAATATATAATAAATAAATAATAAATAATAAATATCACCCGATTATGTTTATTATCTCTAATAAAAGTTTTTACATTTGAACCTCTATTGTGTCTAACAGCCGTATACTGAAAAGAACCTAAATACTTCGTAACGGTATTTAGAATTTAAGTGTGGCCTTATCATTTAAGAAGCTACGAAACATTTCAATTTTCAATATTAGGGCGTTTCTAATATTTTTTTTAGAATACATGAGACCAAAAACACACCTGTTATTATTCCACCAATGATCGCAATACCCAAGGTAGCGATCAACCCTTCAAATTGCGCGAGCGCTTGCACGGAGGAAGTTTTTGTCTCGTTTTGAGGTGGACCGCCGGTTAAGTTACTGGCATTAGCCTGAAAAATAAATCTTATCAATATTACAAATGCCAAAGTTTAGATAGATAGATATTTGTTAGAATTTGTAACCTAAACTGCTGAACGGATCGATTTTGTCATAGATGTATAGAGGATAGTCTGGAAGAACACATAGGCTATTATTTATTCAATTCCAGGACAGAGTCGCGGGTAAAGCTAGTGCATTTTATAAAGGCATTTCCAAACAATCGCCTACATAATTTTTTTAAAAGCTTTTCTGTAAATTACATCTGATGAATTTCGCTATCGATCGTCAAACTATAAGAAGAAGTACGTCTTGTAGTTTCGTCAAGAATTGAATAAAAACCTACATACTTATAGCAAAGACATTAATTAAATGCATCCATACCAAGGCCGGGAACACAACACCATATTCATCTCCATAAACATCAGTTGTGGCCAAATAAGAAAACAATATAGATAGAAGTCCTGAGTACACGCCTGGCATTCCATGTAGATTGTGTACTCCACACGTGTCCATGACACTGGATTCAGCAAGCGTTGGCTGTAAAATTAAATCTTGCTAATATTATAAATGCCAAAGTTTAGATTTAGTTTAGATTAGTTTTAGTTTAGATGGATTGATGGATGGATGGTTGGATGGATGTATGTTAGAGTTTGTAGCCTAAACGGCTGAACGGATCTCGATGAAATATAGTATAGACGTAGAGGATAGTCTGGAAGAACACATAGGCTACTAGCTTTTGTTTTTTTGAACCCCACGCGGAAGTAGTCGCGGGCGAAAGCTAGTAAATAATAATAGTTTAGAGTACGATTAAATTGCAGTTACAAAAAGATGTATTCATTCTTGATTGTCCAGTTTTGTTTACAATAATTATACGGCTTTCCTCTTATATTTGAATTAATTGTTTACTCTGAATCTTTGTCTTAGACAAAATATGGACAAAACAATTACAGGCCGTCGAGTCGTAACGGTCTAAAAAGTATCATTTGAATGCTTACCGTTAAATACGAGTATCCTAGTACACTTATAAATCCAGCACCAATGCCTATAAAAATGGCTCCACCGCAACTAATGTGCATGTTACATACTGCGCCGACAGCGACTCCACCAGCGAGTGTAGAATTCTGAACATGTACCATATCCAATTTGCCCTCCTCGTGAACAAATGACGATACAATGAATGCAGTTACCTAAAAATATTCCTTTTCAATTCCTTATTCCTATCAATTGATAGAATCAGAGATAACATCCAAAGTTTAATGTTGTTGTCAAAGTTTGCAGAGAATTTATCGTTATCATTAATGTTAGGTTGTCCTACGTTTCAACGGAGAAACGCATATTTCATTTATTTTTTTACATACATAAGAAAAAAATATCATGAAGGTATCGAATCAAAAACATTTACGAATGGTTAAATTTAGCTGGGAAACCGACTACTTTAAGTACCTTTTTTTTATAAGAGAAGAGGGCAAACGAGCGGCGAGAACACCAAGGTGGTCAACGACGCCCATGGACATCCGCAACACCAGAGGAACTACAGATGCGTTGCAACTAAAACCCTACTTGCTTTAAAATATAGCAGCTGAGAATTTCGTTGGACATGATATATGTTATTTTTATGACATGATATTTTTTTCAAATTTACTATGGTACATCCTTCTCTAGAGCTAACCCTGCGTCGTTGCTATTTTCAAGACGACAACAAAAATAACTAAAATAATTTAATGGATTAATTCAGGTATGCAAAACAAAGTTAAAATATGTAAATGACATCGTAATTTCTACTTACGGTCGCCGCAGCCAAAGAGAGATATGTGTTAATGATCGCTCGTTGACACTCAGCGTTTGAGTGCGTTAAACCAGAATTAAATGACGGCCAGTAAATCCACAGAAAAAGTGTACCTGCGCAATAAATAAATTACTAAATGACTAAAAAAAATGTTAAAAATTCGCTACTGCTAGAAAAAATTCAATACGTTCGTCTGGTAACTCTTTTTATATACAGGGAAAGAAAGGGGAAGTAATTATACAAAATAGCAAAATCTATTTAGCCGTTGACACTATGAATAATCACAATATATTGAACATTTGAACAATTCTTACATACAAACAAAACTCTCTTATCAGGTAACATATCAATGCAATGACTTTTATTGAAGATGCCAAGTACACAGTACCTATCATTGCCGTCATATCAGTTGAATAAATCGGCCGATTTAACTGATTCTGTTGATCAGGCCTTTTTTTACGGCCGTAAGCCATTGCCCAACTCGCAGCAAGTCCAAAGTACGCTCCAAACGTGTGTATAGCTAATGAACCGCCGATGTCAGCTGTCTGTAAAAAAATATATAAAAAAACATACAGACGAATTGAGTACCTCCTTTTTTTGGGAAGTCGGTCAAAAATAAAAAAAAAA